GTGATCATTGCACAAAAGTCGGCCTCACTGGACAAGGCGCGTAAAGACGCACTCCTGCTTTATAAGAGTGGCATGGCTACTTACCTGGAGATTATCACGGCGCAGAACAACGCTTTGCAGAATGACCTGGAGGCCATCAATATCAGGCGGGATAAGCTGTTTGCACTAACAGATCTTTACCGTGCCCTGGGTGGCGGAACAGAATAAGATTTAATCATTCACAGCAACAGCCACTTCGTTGTACCCGGTGGCTGTTGCTATCTTTAATTACCCGACTAAAGGCACCGCATCATGTATAAAAAATCGTCTCCGGCCAACCGCGGAAGGTTTGTCCTGGTACTATCAACCAATATCCAAAAGGAGAATGCTTATACCCGGTTGCTGAAAGTGATGATCAGCATGGCGCGGGATATTATAGATTGGTCGATAGACCTGAGCGATGAGGACAATGTATTAAGGCTGGTTTGTGATAAAGACATTTCATCGAACGTAGTACACGAGCTGGAACGGGCGTCTATCAGGGCTTCGTTGCTGCGTGCTTTTGATAAGGCAGATCCAGAGCTGGCGATATAAAGCGGGGCCGGAACGCACTTAATACACCATCACCACGGACTTATAAATTGAGCATCCCAAGCCTTTAACAGCACTCCTGTTGAAGGCTTTTTTATTTACCCGGAGTTTATTCGCAGTCATTAAGATAGATAATCGCTTTCTGAGATTTTAGCTAGCTGCATAGCGTATGATCATTCTTGCCGATCATTTTTTGCATTAAAAAATCAAGTGCAAAATCACCATCCTTCAGAGGAAAAACCACGCATTCGTACCGTTTTTTTGATCAAGATTTGCTGGCATTAAACAAGGTAATGTATCAACCTGTAACGTATCTACTGAAGGTACATTATACGCGTTCATTCACTTGCGCTCACCATATTATCCGGCACCAGGCAGTTGACATTTATAGTATTCAATAAATGTCCTTTTAAATTGTTCTATTAACCATCAAAAATCCAAAAACATGAAAAAAAAGCGGATTCTCAAAGGCCTTCTGCTCCTTGCTCTTTGCTCCATGTCCCGACAAGGCATTTATGCTCAGGAACTATACCTCAACCCTACACAAACAGTGTATGAGCTGGCCACCAGTATTCCTACCTACAACTGCCCGGTATTCGACGTAAATGGGATGCGCAAAGAAGACAGCATTAATATGGTCAACCGGGTTACACCGACCCGTTTCGCTAAAAAATTTGAGTTAAACATCACGCCAAGGAACGCTGGTATATGGGAGGATGTGGGTGACGTAAAAGTCTGGCGTTATAAAATAACCTCGAATGATGCCTATTCGATGATGGTGATGTTTAAAGACCTGAAACTGCCGGAAGATGCGAGCTTATTTGTATACAATGAGGACCTGTCCTACATATCCGGCCCATTCACGGCTGGCTATAATGCAAATAATGTATTGGCAACCGAGCTGATACCCGGTGGTTCAATCATTGTAGAGATGGTCTGCGATGCACGTTATACCCGCGATGCCTATTTCAATATAGCATCCGTATCTCATGATTACTGGAACGTGATCGGGGTTATCAGCGGCAACGGTAAGGATAAGCATTCCATGAGCATTTTAAATTGCCACAAAGACATTAATTGCCCGGAGGGGAGCCAATGGCAAAACCATAAACGATCGGTTGCCCGCATTGTTATTGACGGGAATGCATTGTGCACCGGTGCGTCCATTAACAATACCAACTTTGACGGCAAATCTTATTTCCTGACAGCCAATCACTGCTACCTGGGAAATGCTAATGATGTGAATAATTCCGTCTTCTATTTCAACTATGAAAAACAAGGTTGTGGCGGCAGTGCAGAAAATGGGGTCTATACCATTAGTGGGGCTTCTTTGAAGAGCTACAACGGGTATTCTGATTTTGCTTTGCTGGAACTCAACAGCCGTGTCCCCTCTTCGTATTATCCTTATTTATCCGGCTGGGATAAAGGCCCTGGCA